CATTTTCTTTGGTTTTCTCCTACCTTTTTTCTGCCGTTTCTCACTTTCCTCCGTTTCTCGCTCCGTAACCGTCCGTAACCTCCCGTAACCTACCGTAACCTCCCATGACCTCCCGTGACCTCCCGTGACCTCCCGGCTAGGATTTGGCCCAAAACGGCCGTTTCCGCCCAGAAGAGAAATTCAATAGCCGACCGAAGGGCCGCTAAAGGGCAGAAAGTTGCTCCCATGCTTCCCCGTAACCTCGCGTAGCCAACTGTCACCTCCCTCCCATACAGACACAGACACAGACAGACATACACACAGCACTCTACACTTCACACTCTACACTTTACACTCTACACTTTACACTCCACGCTCCACATTCCACAGTCTAGACTTTACACTCTGCACTTTACAGTCTACACTTTACACTCTACACTCCACACTCCACACTTTACACTCCACACTCTACACTCTACACTCTACACTTTACACTTTACACTTTACACTCCACACTCCACACTCTACACTTTACACACTACACTTTACACTCTACACTTTACACTCCACACTCCACACTCTACACTTTACACACTACACTCTACAGTCGACACTCTTCACTCTACACTCCATACTTTACACTTTACACTTTACACTCCTCACTCCTCACTGCACACTTTACACTCTACACTCCACACTTTACACTCCACACTCTACACTCTACACTTCACACTCTACACTCTACACTCCACACTTTGCACTTTACACTTTACACTCCACACTCCACACTTTACACTCCACACTCCACACTCTACACTTTACACACTACACTTTACACTATACACTCTTCACTCTACACTCCATACTTTACACTCTACACTTTACACACTACACTTTACACTCTACACTTCACACTCTACACTCCAACCTCCACACTCTACACTTGACACACTACATTTTACACTCGGCATTCTTCACTCTACACTCCATACTTTACACTTTACACTCTACACTTTACACTTTACACTCTACACTCTTCACTCTCCACTCCATACTTTACACTTTACAATTTACACTTCACACTCCACACTCCACACTCTACACTTTACACACTACACTTTACACTCGACACTCTTCACTCTACACTCTACACTCCATACTTTACACTTTACACTTTACATTCCCCACTCCTGACTGCACACTTTACACTCCACACTCCACACTTTACACTCCACACTCTACACTTTACACTCTACACTTTACACTCTACACTCTACACTACACTTTCCACTCCACACTCCACACTCTACACTTTACACTTGACATTTCCGTCATTTTCTTTGGTTTTCTCCTACCTTTTTTCTGCCGTTTCTCACTTTCCTCCGTTTCTCGCTCCGTAACCGTCCGTAACCTCCCGTAACCTACCGTAACCCGTGACCTCCCGGCTAGGATTTGGCCCAAAACGGCCGTTTCCGCCCAGAAGAGAAATTCAATAGCCGACCGAAGGGCCGCTAAAGGGCAGAAAGTTGCTCCCATGCTTCCCCGTAACCTCGCGTAGCCAACTGTCACCTCCCTCCCATACAGACACAGACACAGACAGACATATACACAGCACTCCACACTTCACACTCTACACTTTACACTTTACACTCCACGCTCCACATTCCACAGTCTAGACTTTACACTCTGCACTTTGCAGTCTACACTTTACACTCTACACTCCACACTCCACACTTTACACTCCACACTCTACACTCTACACTCTTCACTCTCCACTCCATACTTTACACTTTGCACTTTACACTCCACACTCTACACTCTACACTCCACGCTTTCCACTTTACACTCCATACTCCACACTTTAAACTCCACACTCCACACTCCACACTCTACACTTTACACACTACACTATACACTCTACACTCTTCACTCTCCACTCCATACTTTACACTTTACAATTTACAATTTACACTCCTAACTGCACACTTGACGCTCCACACTCCACACTTTACACTCCACACTCTACACTTTACACTCTACACTTTACACTCTACACTCCACACTTTATACTTTACACTGCGCACTCCTCACTCCACACTTTACACTTTACACTCTACACTTTACACTCTACACTCCACACTTTCCACTTTACACTTTACACTCCATAATCCACACTTTACACTCCACACTCTACACTTTACACTCCTCACTCCACACTTTACACTTTACACACTACACTTTACACTCTACACTCTTCACTCTCCACTCCATACTTTACACTTTGCACTTTACACTTTACACTCCTCACTGCACACTTGACGCTCCACACTTTACACTCCACACTCTACACTTTACACTCTACACTTTACACTCTACACTCTACACTCCACACTTGCCACTTTACATTGTACACTTCTCGCTCCACACTTTACACTTTACACTCTACACTTTACACTCTACACTCCACACTCCACACTTTACACTCCACACTCCACACTCCACACTTTACACTCCGCACTCTACACTTTACACTCTACACTTTACACTCTTCACTCTACACTCCACACTTTCCACTTTACACTCCATACTCCACACTTTACACTCCACACTCCACACTCTACACTTTACACTCCACACTCCACACTCTACACTTTACACGCTACACTTTACACTCTACACTCTTCACTCTCCACTCCATACTTTACACTTTACACTGTACACTTCTCACTCCACACTTTACACTTTACACTCTACACTCTACACTTTACACTCTACACTCCACACTTTACACTGTACACTTCTCACTCCACACTTTACACTTTACACTCTACACTTTACACTCTACACTCCCACACTCTACACTCTACACTCCACACCTTACACTTTACACTGTGCACCCCTCACTCCACACTCCACACTCTATACTTTACACTCTGCACTTTACACTTTGCACTCCACACTCTACACTTTACACACTACACTTTACACTCTACACTTCACACTCCACACTCTACACTTTACGCACTACACTTTACACCCTACACTCTTCACTCTACACTCCATACGTTACACGTTACACTTTACACTCCTCACTGCACACTTTACACGCCACACTCCACACTTTACACTCCACACTCTACACTTTACACTCTCCACTTTACACTCTACACTCCACACTTTACACTTTACACTCCATACTCCACACTTTACACTCCACACTCTACACTTTACGCTCCACACTCCACACTCTACACTTTACACACTACACTTTACACTCTACGCTCTTCACTCTCCACTCTACATTTTACACTCTACACTTTACACTCCTCACTCCTCACTGCACACTTTGCACTCCACACTCCACACTTTACACTCCACACTCTACACTTTACACTCTACACTTTACACTCTACACTCTGCACTCTACACTTTACACTTTACACTGTATACACTCCTCACTCCACACTTTACACTCCACACTCTACACTTTAAACTCTACACTTGACACTCTACACTCTACACTCCACACCTTACACTTTACACTGTACACCCCTCACTCCACACTTTGTGTCAAAGATGATGTGTGACAAAGTGGTGTGGGACAAAGTTGTGTGCGAAAGATGGTGTGTGACAAAGCTGTGTGTGAAAGATGGTCTATGACAAAGTTGTGTATGAAAGATGGTGGGTGAAAGGGGGTGTGTCACAAAGTGGTGTATGAAAGATGGTGTGTCACAAAGTAGTGTGTGAAAGATGGTGTGTGACAAAGTTGTGTGTGTGTGAAAGATGGTGGGTGAAAGATTGTATGTCACTCCACACTTTACACTCCACGCTCCACACTTCATACTCCATACTCCACACTCCACACTCTACACTTTCCACTCCACACTCCACACTCCACACTTTACACTTGACACTCCAGACTCTACACTTTACACTCTGCACTTTACACTTTACACTCTGCACTTTACACGCTAGACTTCACACTCTACGCTCTACGCTCCACACTTTACACTTTACACTGCGCACTCCCCCCACAACAGTTTACACTTTACACTGTCCACCCCCTACTTCAATGATCCTCAGCCCGCTGGTTAATCGTCTACTAGAAGCCCAAACCATCTGCAGCACCTTTGGAAGACTTCTCCTTGCTTTGCAACCCTTCGCCCCCCCTTCCTCAGTATCACTTCTCATCCCCTTGCAAACTATCTTGTTCCGAACCCCAACGGACGCTGCTCTCCGTTGAGCTTCGGAGTTCCTCCATTTTCCTCCGTTTTCCCCCTGCTTTGGACGATTTTCCTTCATGTTCTGTCGTTTTTTTCCTACCTTTTTCCTGTCCTTCCTCCATTTTCCTCCATTTTCCCCCTGTTTTCAACGATTTTCCTTGATTTTCCTTGGTTTTTTCCTCCCTTTTTCCTGCCGGAGTCAACGGACCTAGGGGGAATCGAAGCCTACCGTCACCTCTTTGCGTAGTGGTACATGCCCCCCAAAAAAATTCCATTTGCCCGCCCTCCACTGCAACTAATTTCGAGATTTTGGTGCCACACGCGACGACCACCCCCCAGACCCCCTAATACTCACTTCGTTCGCCAAAACAACTTTGCCTAGCCTATCGGCTGGCTTTCGTAATATAGGGGATTGTATTGGAATCCAAGGCTAGACCACAAAATTGATAGCTAAATATAGCTAACAAACCATATGATAGTTTGGTTGTTCGCATGTATAGCAACATATCGAAGAAGTAATACAGTACTCATCCGAGTTGTGTTCCCTGCCTGTTGGTAGCACTCAGCAGGTTCTGATGATCTTTGATATCAGGATATGCTCAAGTGAATATTGGAATGCCGTATCCAAAAGCCAGTGAATCTATATCACCAAGGAAACAGGTCACAACTGTTGCGCACCAAGACAAATCTCGATGTTTTGCACCGCGTAGCGATTCGATTGCCAGTCTGGCAAATCACATGGCAGAAGGAATTCCTAGTGACAGAAGAGGGATATTGGGCCAAGAATGCCAGGGGAGATCAATCACAAATTGGCTGAAGCTGCACAGGTTCAACAACTGACACGCCCCTAAAATCTTGATCGAACACGGATTTCTTGGCCTTCAACTTCTTTGCACTAGTGAAATTGGGGTCATACTGAAGTGTCCATTTTCCTTCAGCTAAGACCTTATGCAAAACACCAGGAGGCAGCGGCTTTGTGAGTGCATCGGCCAACTGTGCATCCGAGTGCACCCACCGAGTCTCAGTCTTCAACTTTTCAATTGACTCCATCAGACACATGATTTCGAGACTCACATGTTTGTCTTTCAAGCCAAAAGCTGCCGAATTAAGTGTACGTTTCTTCAAGATGTCGTACACCGACTTTGCGTCAATTACGACTGTGCCGGAAATCTGAGAGATGGCATCCTCTGGTCGTTTTAAATCAACCGGTATGCCGCACAGTTCAGCCCATGCAAGACGTGTGAGCATTAGTTCCTGCTCGGCTTCGGCTAACGCCTGAGCCTCTGCCGCAAGTGAGGAACGTGCTTTTCGTTGCAATTTGCTGGAACGCCATGCCATGAACGAAAGAGGCGCTCTTTCCCCTTTCAAAATTTCAGGGCTTGCCGCAGCGACAAGAAAGCCACCAGTACTTCCAAGATCGATCCGATTGGCTAAGGCAGCGTCGGACCAAGCTACAAACACTACTTTGGTGGGATCTTCGACATGCAACTGATTAATGCGAGTGGAAAGATGCCGACTATTAAAACATTCCCTGATGAGTCTATTGGTTGATTTTGCTGTGCCAACCGTGGCTTTGGAAATTTCACTTTGCAACTGTCCCAGCCTTGCGCTCAAATGTGGAGCGGTCTGATGCGCTCTCCATTGGAGGGCACCCAACGCGCCACGCAGCTGCGTCAGCTCCTCACCAGTCAGCAGTTCATGATCCGGTCGTGACCGGAATTCAACCTGATCAATGCTCTCGCAAAAGCTTGAATGGTCCAGGTTGAAAGAAAAATCACTTTCTTCACGAATCATCACTCCACAATGACTGAAGGTTGAAAATTCCCAAGGTGACCAGCGGAACTTGGCATAAAACTGCTCCAAAACAGCAACCCACTCATCCGTTTCTTCGCATCCACTGATCAGAAAATCATCAACATGAGCACAGATATAGCCGATCACACCTTTACCTGCGACTTTTGAGTGATAAGTCCACATGCAAGGGTCTGTTTTGCATTGATGAAAATTCAGCTCAGCCAGAGTAGCACGGATGGTGGAAAACCATGACGCTGGCGCGGTAACTAGACCATAACATGATCGAATCACCTGCACTGCTTCATTGTCCTGGAGATTCATGGCCTGAGCCAGCTCCTTCACTGGCATGGCATAGAGTTGTCGATCAGCTTCTGTTGCATGGCCCTGCAAAAAGGCCGCTTTGACGTCTGCCTTCAACACCCTCCATCGACGCACCGAGGACATCTGCAATGCCACTTGTCTAGTCCTTCTGGACATGGTAGGTGCTGATGATTCTATAGTTGAGAGGTCGGGGTCTTGATAGCCGATCAAAACAATTCTTCCTTTTGCTGCACCGCGCAATGAAATGATGCGCTTCTTGGGGATGAAGCCCTGCACTCGCTTCACCGCTTGTGCCGTCAGCCATTGCTTCACTTCTGCACGCTTCGCCTCTTCAAATTCGAGCTTCTCTTCTGGAGAAAGGAGATGCCATTTGATCTCTGTGTTTCTGACCTTTTTCACATAGTAGGCCTCAGGTGAGCGTCTCAGTCTCCGCCAATCCGACTGACGCTCTGGAAGACCCAGGTCAAAAGTGCACACCAGCCGATCACTTCCCAGAGTATGAGTCTCGGAAGAGGTAGTGTGGCCAATGAACCACTCATCTCCATCATCATTTCCATATAGATCCATGCGCTGCTTCTTGAAAAGCGGCTGCTGGAAAAGCTCAGAAGTTGGACGATCTCTCGTCACTGCAGAAGGCGCGGGCGCATACATGGGATCATCAAGGTATCTTCCTAAGTTCAACCCTTGGGAGCGGTCGCCACTTTGGGTTTCGCTATGAGACACCGACGGACCAGGACCAGACTGACTTGAACTAGATCTACCTCCTATTGGTAACCCTTTTGTTTCTTTTTGTTCTTTTTGATCGTTCTTGACTCTGGCTCTTTGGTGTGCCCTTCCACCGCCAGAAGTCTCATCATACAAATCTTGAAGGGTCTTGTTTTCCTCGGTGACCTCTTGGCGTGCCCCACCGCCGTCACTCGGGTTTCGCAAATTTTGAGGGGTCTTTTCAGTTCTTGCCATCTTTGGCTGGTCAACTCTCCTGGCTACTGAACGGCTCAAGGAACGAGCACGAGATCTGCTCAGAGAACGAGCCCTGCGAGGTGCTCGAGGTGCTGCAACTGCTTCAGAGTCCTCAGGGAAAACATGCTGATCCAAAATCTCGTACTCTCCCTTGAAAAGAGTTTGAGCAATGGAGTGAAAAGTCCATGTCGTTGCTGGCGACTCATTGCCCTCTGCCAGCAATCTTTCACGTTCTGAAGCATGTCTCAACTGCTCTGGAGAACATCTTTTCAAACGGCCATGACTCACTATCCATATGACATTTGAAGGTTTTCTCACTTCGCCTACTCCATCTGTTCTGGTTTCTGTTGCAAGGACGCGCCCAGGACCATACCACCTCCACAATTTGTGGGACATCCGCGCAGCAGCTGCAGGCTGTGCAGGAGGCTTCACTCTCTTGGAAAAAATGAGATCACCAGGAACAAAGGTTTGAGCCCGTCTCGTTTTGATATTCAAGGCTCGGGAAACTTGCTCCATGGCTTGCTGTCTCAAAAAGGTTTGCTGCGCCTGCACTCGAAGACGAAGATTGGCTGCCATGCTACTGCCGGCCACCGCAGATGAAGTCAAAAATGGAAGATCATGTCCACGATCATGCATGTGCCCTTGACTGGTAGGCTGCTTTCCAAATGCCCATTGAAAAGGAGAAAAACCTTCCACTCGAGCAAGTTCATTGTGAGAAAGACAGGCTTGTTGAATCGCATCCCAAGGAGAAACATCTTGACCTTGGACCAACTGGCGAGTGGTGTTTTTGATGGTCTGAATAGCTCGTTCTACCAGGCCTATCTGCCCATGCGCCTCTGCTGCGCAAGGCAGCAATTGAACACCTCGTTCTTCTCCCCATTGGCCCAACTCATGAGATCTAAAAGCTCCCTCGGGATCCATTCGCACCATTCCAGGCAATCCATAGTGTCGCACCCACGTGTCTTGCAGGCCTTTCACAACCTCATGTCCTGTGGCATTTCTGCTCTCACCCTTGGGCACCTCAAACAAGAGATGAGGACAAACAAGCCGTGATGCCTCATCCATCATGATCATGCAATGGATAACCTTGTTGTCAATGGGGAACTCCGCATTGTCCATTACCACAGTCTCCCACAAAGTTTCCGATCTTTGTAATGCAACATTTGGATCAAGTGGGGCCATTCTCAGCTCTTGACACTCAGGGCACTGGTGTCGTTTTGCCATCTCGACTACCTCATAGTGTGCTCCTCGGTGTCGAAGAGTGCTAGCCAGAGCTGAATTGGATGGGTGTCCAGTTCTTCGATGAAGCTTGCTCAGCAACTTCTCTGCTTCCTTTCTCTCATTGACAGTCAAAGGTTCAGGCAATTCAGGTTTCTTTTCCATCTGCAAAGGCTGCGCATCAAAAACGGGGAAAACATTCTCCACCTTAGTGTTCACCATTTCTCGCACAGTCTTCTGAATTGTATCACACAGAGCTTGTGGATAAAAACCTGAATCTCTAGCTGTTTTGCCGCCTAAACATTCTCTGTGTTCATGATTGCCAGGGCATGCTCGCTGAAGTGCAGCTGCCAGGGTCGGCGATGTTGTTTTCACCTTCCAAGGTTTTCGCAAAAAGAAACCATCGCTATTCTTCAGACCATAGGCACAACCATCCAGCTTTGCCTCATGACACATGCCCTTCGCAAGCAGCTCATTGAAAAACACACGCACTGTCGCCACATTCCAACCTCGATTGTCTCGAGGCCACTCCCATCCAATCTCTCCACCAAGACTCACTTGACGTCGAGCAGCTGTTATACCATTGGCCATAAGTCTCCGTGACCTAGCCTTTCTCAGCTCGCTCTGCTGTAGTTTCTCAGGAGTGTTCTCGTTGAAGAGCTCTTGAATGGGTGAGTATGGGCCACAAGGAAGTGAAAACCAAAGGACAGCAGGACGGTGTTTCTCGATCATACGCAAAAGCTCCTCAAGACCTTTCCTTTTGCTGAGGTCGATGGCAGGAAGACCAATGCGAATAGCACTCCGGCCTTTGTTCAAGAAGGTCTCCACCAGTCTGCTGTCCGTCGGACAACAAACTTCCATCAACTCCACATCGCTGCTCTTGCCAAAGAACTCTTCCATAACTTCGTTGGCGGCATTGATGTAGTCCTCAGCTCTGGACTGAAGAATGCCTTTTTGATCTTCCGTCAAGAAACCAGTTCTGATTTCACCTTGATGTCCTTCTAGTCCGACTTCACTTCTATCCACTCGGAGGGTTTGGCCTCCGCCTCCTCCGCAGTGGTGGCATTCTCCCTCTTGGCCGCTTTCTTGGAAGTCTCGGTCACCACCTGAGTCTGATCGGCCGAGGCCTTCGGTCGGACTGGGGCCGAGGAGGTGGCCTTCAGGCGATCTGCTTCCAGCTTCTTCAGCTTGTTCTTCAGTGACTCCTCTGCACCGATGGTGCTCGCCATCTTGGAGTTGAGATTCTCCCTGGCCTTCACATCGTTCTCGATTGTCTTTCCAACACGCTCCAAGGCCGTGGCGGCGTCTGGTGCCAGGCGTCTGGTGCCAGAGGTCCGGCTTGTCGGTGAGCTCCGGTCGCACCATATGCCGGCACATATTGGATCCTGAGCCTGCACTTGCTGCAGACTTTCCACATACCATGGGCGTTGCGCCCGCTCAGACTGCCCCGGCCCTCCGGCATGCTGACATGATTGCCCCAGCAGGGGTAACCTTGGGCCCTCCCATCCCTCGCATCCGGGCCTTCTGCCCTCGACATGTCGTACTTCTCGGGAGTGGGGATGCGAGTGGATGCACGACCACGAGTCTTGGCCTTGGCCTTTGGGACAGAGGTCTCCACGGTCTCGGGGCTCTTCTCGGTGGATTGAGCCATTCCAGGTAGGAGAGGAAGTTGTCGCAACAGCTATTGCAGCAAGGACGGGAAGTCCGCGAAGCATGCTTGAGCCTGAGTTTGCATTGGGAGAGGAGGTATCTGCAGATTCAGGATGACTCTGAAGATCACCGCATGCATCTTTGACTACACCTTCAACTTCATGAATCTGCTCAACCTTCTCATGCATACCTGCACCGCATGCTCCATGTTGGTCATGTCTTCCAGCACTGAAAACCTCATCTACCTTTGCCTGCTCAACCAATGACACGTCTGAAGCTGCTGCATCCTTATACGTCAATTGGGACGGAGAGTGAGAATTCTGGGACTGCACATAGCCATCTGCACCAGCTTCAGAAGAGTACCAATCCGTTGTCAGGTCTAACAACAGATGACCATTTGGTCCTCTCTTCAGGGGCAACCAGTGTTCTGCACGGACAGCTGTGAAACAAATCATGCCTTCGTCTACATCTATCACTGCCTTCAGGCTCTGTAAGGTTTTCACAGACAACAACAGAGGAACACCTGGTGCATCCAATGTGTGCACACCCAACTTCACACCACTGCCGGCTAGAAATTGAGGAAGTTCGACAAAGGAAGCTGCTCTCTGTTCTTGCCCATTGCCAAAGCGAAACTTCTTATGACGCTGGTGAACCGTGATTTCCTCAGGTCCAAACTTGGCAGCACGCATCTGCATCACTTCCTCCAGTGCCTCCAGGGAAGCGATGGTCTCCGTGGCACCGGTGTCTATGACCGCATGTCCAGGATGTTGTAGAGCAACGGTCGCTAAAACTTCTCCCATATCAGGATCTACTTCGTCACCATCTGAACATTCTTCAACACCAGTTACCATGAGAACTGACCTACCCACAAAGAAATTGGTTCTGGTAGAGGACATAGAAGAGGAGGTAGGTTTGTTTTCACGTTTAGGACATCCACGGAAATCATGATCCATGCCACCGCAAATGAAACAACCCTTGTAGGAAGGACTACCCGGTGTTTGTGGTCCAGACCCTTTTTGAAACGAAGCCAAGACTGCATGACTAGAAGAGGACGTCGAGCTATGTTTGCTAGGTGACTTGCCTTTGCCCTTAGACTTGTTCTTACCTTTGCCTTTTCCTTTGAACATCTGCATGGGATAGTAACCCCTTGACAACTGCTCCGTATACTTGAGGAGGCGACTTTCCTTGAAGGTTCGCACACGGTCATGGAAAGTGGAGAAAATCTCCTGGGTCTGTTGGCCATCACTGGGATTGGACTGCAAATAGTCCTCCAAGTCTAGCCATGATTTGGTATCAGCCCAGGACCAGTAGCATCCATCCGCATCAGCAGCATAAAAATCATCTTCAAACCACTCCCAGTGCATCTCGTGACCGTCAGGAAGCCACGTACTCCATGCCATCTCATGTTCTTCTCTAGGATATACTTCTGGGGGCAAACGATCACCTATCCAGCAAATTGGAGACTCTTCCAAATCATCTTGAACTTCTTCACCTAGCAAACCCCACTGAGAATCTTGTTCAACCCAAAAAGAACGGCGAGGCCTCTGCAAGTCACCACGGCTCCGTTGGGCTTCTGCAAGAAGTAGTTCTTCTTCTTGATCTCTCATGGCCCTCTCCATAGTGCCCAAGTCCAGCTTGTTGCCAATTGATGACAGCACTGACAAACGTGCGCTAGCTGGTAGGCCACTACGTCTCAAAAGTAACCATCCTAATATTTCTTCGGGGAGTATATCAACATCATCATACCCAAACTGATCCCACTGTATAGTATCTTGTTCGGGTTCTTGGGGAAATCATACTCCTTTTCTGAAGGATCATACCAGTGACGCCACCTGCGATCCCGCTCAGCATACCACTCAGTCCACTGCTCATCAGTCCAACGATTGCCACCATATCCATGACCAGGGTTGGAGGCTGTCTCCGACTGTGGCACGGCGTCATAGCCCTCATCAGTAGGATCAGGACGACCTGGATCTTGAGGCTCTTCAGGTTCTGTGGCACCCGCTGCTGGTTCCTGAAAACCAAAAGTCGATCTGGCCGCAGATCTAGCAGGAGTTGTAGCATCTGACTTTCGCTGTGGAGAAGAAGATCCATGGCTCTTGTGAGACGGAGACTTCGGAGTCTTTTCACCAGGAGAACCAAAACGGTCTGCTTGGTCTTTGCGCTGTCGTGCCATCGCACGTTGCAGTCGACGGTAGGATTCACGTAGTTGAGCTGCCCACTCCGCCATAGAGGACCCTGGGGTTCTTCTCAGTTTCATGAAGAATTCCTCTAAGCGTTGGCCAGTGTCAGGAATTGGGGCTTTGCACAAACGTTCCTCCAGGAAGTGCAACAGATAAGCTGCTCCATCAGGTCGCTGAAGCTTATCATGGTTGAGCTCAGCTGACGCGACATCCCAAGCTCGGCCTGTCAAGCGGCTCGCAAGTTCTGCTCCCAACAAACCACGTTTTCTCCATTCCGTCTTCTCATACTGCAATCTCACACGTTTCACATATTCCTGCCAGTGAACAGGATCTCCGTTCCATGTCACGATCTGCTCCTTCTTGTCCACATTCGTCATCCTTCCAAATGGCCTGGCAAAGTGCTCAGGACCTCCGGTGACTGTCGCAAGAAATGGCATGGCAAAATGCTCAGGACCTCCGGTGATTGCACAAGCAAAAAAAAGGTTCGGCCAGTATCACAGAAATTGTACAAGCTACGTAGTGATCTGGTAGTCAAGGAAAAAGGGTGAAAGTCACCACACCAGTCAGCGGGAGCCCAGTCCGGTCGGAGCTGGGCTCCGCTACCAATGTTGGTAGCACTCAGCAGGTTCTGATGATCTTTGATATCAGGATATGCTCAAGTGAATATTGGAATGCCGTATCCAAAAGCCAGTGAATCTATATCACCAAGGAAACAGGTCACAACTGTTGCGCACCAAGACAAATCTCGATGTTTTGCACCGCGTAGCGATTCGATTGCCAGTCTGGCAAATCACATGGCAGAAGGAATTCCTAGTGACAGAAGAGGGATATTGGGCCAAGAATGCCAGGGGAGATCAATCACAAATTGGCTGAAGCTGCACAGGTTCAACAACTGACACTGCCATGGTCATCCCGCGTCCGTCATGAATGTGATTCAATGTGAAAAAAATATGTTTTTTTTGACCCCCAGGAATGGTGGTATAGTGACCTACCAATGGTATATGATGCTATAGCTACCTATAATGATACCAATTATATCCGATTATACAGTATGATACCAATTAGACCAATCAAAATTGGAAAGCCAACTCTTGACACTGGCACTGATTGCTGGATTGGATCGATCGCATCCATCGCTTGGTTCCCGCACACAGCCACGTCGCCTCTTCGTGCGACGAAGAGGCGAAAGCTGAAACTTTATGGATGTTCAATAGATCTAAAAGCTTGCTGGATTGATGAAATTTCGATGAAAATACATGAAATGACTTAGACTAACTTGGATCGTTTTTTTTTTCTCATCTGTGCCCTGTGCTGAACTTCGCTGTAAATGGTACTTCTGATTTTTGTTGCGGCCAATGTGGCTGAGAAGTTGCTCAGTTGCTTGCGAAAAAAACATGGATGCTGCTATAGGTCTTCAGGGACCCTCTATATCCCTTACACCAAGTTATGTATATATATTATATATATATATATGAGATAGCAATATTAAAACATGAAACGGTTTGTAAAGTTTCCACCATTGCCAAATGCAAAAAATGACCCCCGACCCAGTATTGCCAGAGTGTGGGTCAACAGTGTGAATCTCCATGTTTCCTCCCAATCCATCTATACATAATCTGGGTAGATGAGTGTTAACAATAGCAATTCATAGTTTTTTTCCATGTCGCTAACCAATGTTCGGCTATCGGGAAAAATCCTCTATATACTCACCATATCTCACCATCATATCCATCATTCCGTCACGAAATTGCTCCGCTCCTCTCCCGCTCCATGGCCATTGCGGCCGCTTAGTTGGCGAAATCGTTGGGTTTACACACCGTTGGGTTTACAGAAATTAAAGCCCAACCTATATATAGACACGAAACCGAAACAACGATCAACAGATCAACAGTAACATTATTTTACTCTTAAGCATATTTGGCTTTAGCATGCTTTAGCATTTGACTTCAAGAGTTCCGATACTGATCCGATTTAATTTAACTGATGCAGAGAATATTGAGTGGATATGCACTTGTGATGTATTAGGTTCATATCCCAACTCATGTTAGCAAGCTGGTGGCAGCGGCTCATACCAGAATCATCCAAGTGTAATTCTGTGGAGCACATTCAAGCAAAATGGTTCAAATTTGGCGATTTGTCCCAATCAACTCCGCGGTTACATGGGATTTAAGCATGTCAAAGGATATGCAGGAATGGACCACTGGCAAATGTAGGGTTTGCAAGTATTTGCCGCGAGCAAGTCTTGTGTTTCTCATATTTTGGTCCCTCTTGGGCATGTCGAGGATCCAAAAAAATGACCTGCCTTAGTACCTTAGGGTTCAGCCTGCAGCGGTGTCGGCACCTTTTTTCAAAACAATTGGGAGCTTCGGTATCTCGGCTCCCACCATCCTGGCACTTCGGAACTACTTCTCATGATGGACCCCTCAACACGTCGACCTTGCCGTATATGGAAACCAATATGGAAACTCATGAAATATCCGTAAAACATGTCACACCCTTGAACCTTTGAGCCTTTCAGCCACGCAGGGTATTTTGATGTATTTTGATCCCATGCCTCGGGTGCTTCTTTCGCGGCAGGGCTCCTGAAAAGCACAGGGCTCATCATCATCATCATCATCATCATCATCATCATCATCATCACCATCACCATCACCATCACCATCACCATCACCATCACCATCACCACCATCACCATCACCATCACCATCACCATCACCAACACCATCATCAGTTGTTGAATATCACATGCTCCCCATGAATCAAACACCTGATCACGGCATGCAAGGCATGCAAGTCTTCAGGCTATATACCTTTTAGAAGAAACACGTTGCCGTGCAGTGCGCTGCAGTCTCTTATGTTTCTGAGGCTCAACACTTTTGTGGAATCAACACCAACAAGTTCTTCCGCAAATGATGATGCGGTAGTCAGTTCAACTCTTTGCACATCCTAGAAAAAATCATGCTCAAAGATGTCTATATTCATTCTATATCTCCAGATTTTGGCTATCCTTCAGCTCAAACTTTCAACCAGCGCTACCGGAAAATCTGGGAAAACCGCCTGATCACGCCAAGACCATGAATCCTGAGCTGGTTCATTGATGTTGGAGGATGTGAGTCTTCCAATTTTTATCAAATTCTGGGATCAAAAGACATCAAAAGACATCAAAAGAAACCCTGCCACAATGACATTCAGAAATCATGAAAACAGTATGCAAGCTGAAAAAAAGTGCCAGACATTGGAACATTATCGACCAAACATGTTGGAACTTTGGGTTGCTCAAAAAAACATGTCCTATACAGTACCTTGCCACAATGACAAAGAAAATCCTGTCTGCAAGCAGATTGTGACTGTCCGATGAAACATATTAAAACGTAACCAAAAACAAATCACTCAACCTAATTGTGGAGAAACACTTTGCACGTTTGAGTAACTGAATAGCTTCCAACACTAAAGAACAACAAAGTTCTGAAGGGTCTACCTGGTTCCCTACATCTGATCACACAAAAAAACATCAAGTAACAACTCCAATTCAGGAGCGATTCACACAGAACATGATGTGCATATGATATAGAGACATGGGTTGGGCACACAGCTCATGTCTGACGCCTTTTAGCAGGTAGAAGGCATATCGAACACCGGATAAACCAAGCCGTAAGAATAATGAAACTCCCGCTGTTCAGGTGTGCACTTCTGCTGTATTTTTTTTCAGTGCCCCCTACTGCAACAAATGGAGGGAATCCTTCTGTTTATAAAATATAGGGGTAATAACCATTACTCACTATATGGGGTTTAACATGGTTTTACCATAGAACCAATTATTTATTAAATCAAATATCTGTTAGATCACTATATGGGATTTCCTAAAGTAGGGGTAGCCACACCATCACCGTTGGTTGAAACCTCTGAAAAAGGCTACGCACATTCAAGGTGAATAAATCGGGAACCTCCGCCATTTTGGAATGCTTCAAACCTCAGGTTTTTTATGGCAAATCCCCATATTTCAGGCTTTCATGGTTAAATGGGTTACCCTCTGGTAATTTAACGTAGCTATTGAAAATGGCCATTTATAGTGGATTTTCCCATTAAAAACGGTGATTTTCCATAGTTATGTTAGTTTACCAGAGGGTAAATCACCATGTATCATTCTACGAAAAATCAGTGAAATCCTCGTATTTTACGAAAATTGTTTCTCGGAACCGGCAGCGCCAGCTGAGGAACCGTGCGCAAGGTAGCAAGGCGAGAACCAGCAGCACCTGAGAGAGAACTCTGTTGCTGGATTTGTAGCCATCAACAGTAGGGATTTATAGGGTTATAGCCATCAACAACAGGGATGGCTAGTGGGATTTCATGGGGATTTAAACAGCAAACATGATATTCAATGGATTGCTTGGGGGACATCTGCAGGAAACTATGGTCTTTCCTGCAGACTTCTGTGAAAGTTTGTCTGTAGATGTAGATGCAGCACACATCAAATGTTTCGGATCTGGATGTTCCCAAGCACGGATCCGCAAACAGCGCTCTCACCAAGAATAATCATAGACAAAAATCAGGGTCGTCCCCAATGAGGATTTCTGATGATTTCTGCATCCCTCATCAAGGCTGGGGCAAAGTTTCTCGCTGAGTCATCTAATTTCGGGTCAGTATATAATATTTAGTGCCAGTGCTTCTCTTCAGGAATTGTCCTGGTAGACTTGGTAGACTTCCCAAAAAAAGCACCCCAGTTCACTCCTTCGACCATGGGACTATATATATATATAAATGCATACTTTTGATGGCTCCATTGACCCCCATTGACCCCCTGTGACTTTTTGCGGTTACGACACATCGAATCATAGGACTTTCTTGGAAAACCCAGAGATTTTTGGCAGCTCGAATCCACTCTGACAATTCGGCAGATTCCGACATCTTGCAGCCCTATCACACGCCCGATAAAGCCCATGACACACTTGTGATATATCTATTTGTTGCAATCTGAAAGACATGAAATGCTGGAAATCACACCATGCTAATCGAAATGGAACCTAAAGACAACCTCTGAAGACTGCCGGGCAAGCTCACTCCCTCCAGGGTCTGGTTGAATTCATTGCCGAATGTCAAGTGATGAAGGCTGCTTGGCAAGCTCACCCTCTCCAGGGTCTGGTTGAATGAATATCCAAATGTCAAGCTTTGAAGGCTGTTTGGCAAGCTCACCCTCTCCAGGGTCTGGTTGAATTCAATGCCGAATGTCAAGCTCTTGAGGCTGTTTGGCAAGCTCACTCTCTCCAGGGTCTGGTTGAAATTATCGCCAAATGTCAGGCTCTGAAGGCTGCTGGGTAAGCTCACTCTCTCCAGGGCCTGGTTGAATGAATATCCAAATGTCAAGCTCTGAAGCCTGCTTGGCAAGCTCACTCTCTCCAGGGTCTGGTTGAATAATCTATGTCCGAATGTCAAGCTCTCAAGGCTGTTGGGCAAGCTCACTCCTTCCAGGGTCTGGTTGAATTCACAGCCAAATGTCAAGCTCTGAAGGCTGTTTGGCAAGCTCACTCTCTCCAGGGTCTGGTTGAATGAATATCCAAATGTCAAGCTCTGAAGGCTGTTTGGCAAGCTCACCCTCTCCAGGGTCTGGTTGAATGAATATCCAAATGTCAAGCTCTGAAGGCTGTTTGGCAAGCTCACCCTCTCCAGGGTCTGGTTGAATAATCTGCCGAATGTCAAGCTCTGAAGGCTTTGGGGTAAGTTCACTCCTTGAAGGGTCTGGTTGAATTTAAGGCCGAATGTCAAGCTTTGAAGGCTGTTGGGCAAGCTCACTCCCTCCAGGGTCTGGTTGAATCTCTCTCCGAATGTCAAGCTCTGAAGGCTGTTTGGCAAGCTCACTCTCTCCAGGGTCTGGTTGAATTCATTGCCGAATGTCAAGCTTTGAAGGCTGTTGGGCAAGCTCACTCTCTCCAGGGTCTGGTTGAATAAATATCCAAATGTCAAGCTCTGAAGGCTGTTTGGCAAGCTCACCCTCTCCAGGGTCTGGTTGAATGAATATCCAAATGTCAAGCTCTGAAGGCTGTTTGGCAAACTCACTCTCTCCAGGGTCTGGTTGAATTCACCGCCAAATGTCAAGCTCTGAAGGCTGTTTGGCAAGCTCACTCTCTCCAGGGTCTGGTTGAATTTAAGGCCGAATGTCAAGCTCTGAAGGCTGTTTGGCAAGCTCACCCTCTCCAGGGTCTGGTTGAATAATCTGCCGAATGTCAAGCTCTGAAGGCTTTGGGGCAAGTTCACTCCTTGAAGGGTCTGGTTGAATTTAAGGCCGAATGTCAAGCTCTGAAGGCTGTTTGGCAAGCTCACTCTCTCCAGGGTCTGGTTGAATTCATGGCTGAATGTCAAGCTTTGAAGGCTGTTGGGCAAGCTCACTCCCTCCAGGGTCTGGTTGAATTCACAGCCAAATGTCAAGCTCTGAAGGCTGTTTGGCACGCGTATTCCTGCTAGGCTCTGGTTGAATGAATTTCCAAAGACCAAGGTCTCAAGACTTCCTGGAAGGTGTTTTAGATACTCGCCTGACCTGGCACCTTCTATAAGTGTCACTCCCTCAAGTGCGCTCTCTTGCTCAGAGACCGGGACTCCATCGATATAGCAAAGTGATTTGTACAAATCAGTAGGAACAAATGTGCAAGAAAGTGTTGCCGTCTTACCCACAATGCCTTGCTCTTGCAATGTTTGGTGAAGCAGCAGCGGTGAATTCTTGTGATGGATCACATATCTTCTCCCCTTCTTTGAAGGAATTCGCTGCACAATGTTCTGCCGCACTTCATGCCCCAGGGTGGAACCGCTCAGAGTGAAG